TCCCTAATTCCTTCCTAAGTAGCTATTGGGCTGTGGGAGGGGCAGCAAGTGTTGCCAAAACAAGAACATCTGTATACATGTTCATCTACCCTTGTGCTTTTTTAAAAAAATATATTTAATTGATTTTATTACAGAGAGGAAGGGAGAGAGATAGATAGTTAGAACCATCGATCAGCTGCCTCCTGCGCACCCCCCACTGGGGATGTGTCCATAACCAAGGTGCATGCCTCTGACCGGAATCAAACCCGGGACCCTTCAGTCCACAGACTGACGCTCCATCCACTGAGCCAAACTGGCCATGGCTACCCTTGTTTTAATCAGACTATAAAAGAAAGCATCAGCTGCAGGCTGGGTCTTTTGTGTCCTCATCCAGGCACGGGAGATCCACCGAGCCCCAGCTGTATTCTCTGTCTGTCTTTTCTTCAATCCTTCACCGCCCCTCCTCAGGCTCACCCTTGGCCGTGCTGGCACGGCACACTTCTTCTTTTTTAATCCTCCCCTGAAGCTATTTTTTCCATTGATTTTTAGAGAGGGTGGAAGGAAGGGAGGAAGGAGGAGAGAGACATCAACGTGCGAGAGACTTATTGATTGGTTGCCTCCAGCACATGTCCTGACCAAGGCCAGGGATTGGACCTGCAACGGAAGTATGTGCCCTTGACTGGGAATCAAACCCACAACCCTTCAGGCTGTGGTTTGATGTTCTAACAGCTGAGCCAAACCAGCCAGGCTGCGGAGCCCTTCTTGGTACTGCTGGGTAATGATAAGAATTTTAGCTTCCTACTATGGTTCCATTGATACCATCCTGGCCAGTAGGCTGAGGCTGGGATCATTACAGCTTCTACTATGGCTTCCACTGACATGGTGAATATCCAGGGGTGGCCCCTTTACTACTGGGTGGTGGTGAATGTTTTCACTCTCTATGAGGCTTCCTCAGAAACCCCCAATAGGGCAGGGGTGCCTCATTTCCATTTTGTAGGTATGGAAGTCCAGCTCCCCACGTGGTTTCTACTGTTTCTGTGAATGGTGGCTTCATTACCCCTGCATAGATTGAAGTCCTGATTCCTTATACAGCCTTTTCTGCCATATCCTTGTGTGCATGTTTGGTGGTGGTGTAGGGGGCACCTTGTTACAGCCTATCAAGGGTTGAAGTCTAGCCTCTGCTCTAGGTCTTTGCTGATCTGAGTGCAATTGAGGGCCACTGCTTTATTCTGTAATGTTTTACTGGTATAGAGTAGTTGTTTTCTAAAAGTTTTCTGCTTTGTTTGGTGACCCCTTAATCTTTTGGTTAAATAGTTTTATTGGGGCTTTTTTGGGGGGGTCTGTGATTGTTGGCATTTCTTAGTTGCTGGCTTTTCATTTCCACTGATACCTGGTAGTGATGAAAGTCCCACCCCCTTCCTTCTCTGACACCACCCCTGCAGGGGGTGCTGGCATGTTCCCTATGGTCTGCTGAGGGTGGAACTAGACCCTCCACTCAGACTTTGTTGAAGTTTCCTCCTGTGGTGTTTGACTGCAGTGAGCAGTTATCACATGAATGTTTACTGTGTTGATATGCTGCCCTTTTCCTGGTGGTTGGTCTAAATAAACCAGGTTTTTGGTGTCAGTGTCTGACTCCTCTAACTTCAGTACAAGATAAATGAGGCCAAAAGAAATCCCAGGTAACTCATCACCATGTCATTCCTTAGGTTCCAAGGTCCCTAATTGGTCCGCCCCTTCTCTTCATCATTCGGATCTTCTCTTTATTTCATGGATAATCTCCAGGGCTTTCGGTTGTGAATAAAAGAAACAACAGGGAAAGTGTGGCTGCTTCATCTTCCTGGAGGCAGAAGCTCACAGGACCTGGTCACATTCTGAAGAGCAGGTGGCCAGACTTGCTAATGGGCTGGGTGTAGGGTGTGAGGGAAAGAACAGGCAGTGATGACCCTTTTTTATCCTTACCAGCTGGCGGGGTGGAGTTGCTATAATTAGAGATGGGGAAGGCTGACGTTAAAGAGGTAGTTTTTGGACATGTGAGGTTAAAGACACCCTGTGAATATGGAATGTAAGCTTTTGGATCGAAACCTACTAACCTATTGGCAACTGTCTAAAAAGAGACATTTTATTTTTTATCTTACAAAATCACTGCTGTCACAACGAAGTGGCTTACTTCATTTTTATTACAAATTGAGTGGATTGATGGGAGCATATGCCAGCTCCTATTGTGAGCAGTCACTGTGCAGGCCCACCTGCTGTACACATATTGCCCCCTTGGATCTTGGTGACAGCGCTGTGAGCTAGAGTTTATTGCCACCAGTTGGAAGCTGATGAATCTGAGATTGTCTAGGTTTCTCAATACAAAGATCGAGCTTTGCAGTGAGCTGCCTGCATTTCCAATCACCTTCTTGCTTACACTATACTGGAAATTGTTTCATGTACTTAACAAGCAATATATACTTTCAAACAAAATCTACTTGTTAATTAGAGGAGAATTGGTAAGTCCTTTTATTTTACTATTTAGTTTTGGTGTGTGAGTCAATATCAGTTTTTCTTTTATTATTTATTACCCTTTACAAACTAGTTTGGGGGTATGGAGCTAAAATGAAAGTGACTTTTAAATATAGTTATTTTAAAAATATGATAGATTTTAATAGTGTTTTTCCTAGCACTCAAATTCATTGCTTCCAGTCTTGGAGTAGCCACGTCTATTATTCACATCAACAAAGTGTTGGTTCAGTGTTGTTAAGGGGAGCAAAACATTTTATGGAAGTCAAAATGTTAACTTGTTTCCAGAGCAACAGCTGTTATCATGCAATGGGGCTGGTATTTGCTGTAACACCTTATGTTGAGTAGCTAAAGAGGTGTCCTGTCACTGCAAATAAATAAATAAAACCAAATCATGCTCCAGCCGGGTGGCTCAGTTGGTTGGAGCATCATCCTGTACACCAAAATGTTGCAGGTTCAATTCTGGACAGGGCACGTGCCTAGGTTGCAGGTTTGAGCCCAATTGGAGCATGTATGGGCGGTAACTGACTGATGTTCTCTCTCACATCGATGTTTCTCTTTCTCCTTCCCTCCCTCCCTTCCTCTCTCTCTAAAAACCAATAAAACATATTCTCAGGTGAGGATTAAAATAACAACAAAAACAAATAAGCCACTCGACCATGTACAGAGTAGCTATGGGAATGCTGTGTTTGATCTTTTCAGTAACTTTCATTAAAATGGGCAGTGTTAGAAGGCTGCTCCTTGCGAGAAGAGACCTGGAAGTTCCGTTCGTTGTCAGAGGGAAATATCGCCTACCACTTGCTGGAACTTTCACCAGGAGAGTTAGCAGTACCTTCTGGGACTTGTGGTTCTCCCTGTGTGTCAAGAAACAAGCAGAGACTTAGGAAGGGTATTTACATGACTCACTTCCCAAGAACACACAGCAAATTGCTGGCAGGTCAGTGCAATCTCAAGGCTGCCGGGAGGCATTTCTACCTATTTTTTCAGACTGATTCCTGGAAGAGGCCAAGTTCATGGAAGGGCCTGGGAAGGCTTTAGGTACTGTACTTGGTGAATACTGACTTTGAGCACCAAGGATCTCGTTTCCTGAAAAGTGGGAAATCATGACTCTCAATCTGTTGTGAATAAGCAAAGTGAGAATGTTTGTTCTGGAATAAACGAGGCATGCTTGCCCTGCCAGAGATGCCAGCTGTGTCCCAGCGATCTTGTCTGTCCCCATGAGACACTCATCTTACATGGGCTGAGCTAGCACTCCTTGCGTGCGGGGCTCACGCCCACATCACACAGGAGCTGGCGGAGCATTCTCAAGGCAGTCGCCGCCAGGGACAGGCCATTACTTGCTGGTACAGCCCTCTCGCCCCAGCAGCTGATGGTTACTCTCATCGAAGTACCTTTATTTTCTTCCTAGAAACATGCTGGTCCCCTTTTTTTCATTCCAATTATTTGATAAGGTTTCTTTGCCCATTTCATTGTCCCCACAAGGCAGGGCAGTTACTGTGCTGAACTCTCAGATTATTTTGGTGGCTTTATCTCATAGTGTTTTACCCCTTTAAAAATATATTAGGAAATATAAACTTCTATAAGAAAAAATGGAATATGTGTTTTTCTGCTTTCTATTTGTATTTCTTTCTCACTGAAATACCTCCCTTCCCCCCAAAAAATAACCCGGACTGCAAACATGTTGCCAATGGTTTGAATATTGATAGATTGAAGCTCCACATGGATAAAAAGCCAATATGAATTTCAGTTATAGCGATTCATGATTTATAGGAAAGTTTCATACAGCGTGGGGGAATTGTTCCAATGGAAACGACCTACGAGGACCGCCATGACCTTCCCCCCGGCCACTTCCTCTAACACTAACGCTTTCCCGTTGCCCGCTGCCCATACTTGCCACTGCCCTCCATGGCTTCCCTGCTGTGCTTTCTCCTCTCTGCCTCATTTCCCATATTTCTGTTCTCCCTTTTAAGAATCACCTCCTCCAAGAAGCCACTAGTAGTATGCCAAGATTGGGTCAAGTACCCTTTCTCTGTTGTTGGGTAATATACATAGTTTTCTCCTTGCAATTGGCATAGCTGTAGTCATCTGATTGTGTATTATTCCTCTCCTATTGGACTGTTGATGGTGCACATTGTACTTTTCTATGTCATATCAACAATAAGTGCATACCTAGCACAGGGCCTGACATAAGGTAGATTGTTTTTCAGTCAATCACAAATTTGAATATAGGTGGATGAAAGAGTGGAATTCAATTTAGTTGTCAATCTTTCTTTTGTTGGGTATTTTATGATAACCAGAGAGGGAAATACCAAATCATTCTAGGCCACGGGATTTCTAAACTAGCTCTTCTGATGCAGAAGTGGTAGAACCTACTTTTGGTCTTGTCCCTCAAGAAGGAATTCAACCTGGATGCAGGTTGCTATAATACAGCATAAAATCCCTTGAAGAAATGTGATTTCTAGGGTGTTAGAAACTTATAGAGACAAATCCTGGTATAAAAATGAAGACTCACAACAGAATACTTACAGCTCAGTGAGCAAGACTTTGCAATGTTTATTTTCAATTGTGTCTAAAAAAGCTGTGGGTGAGCAGGTTCAAATCTAATGTTAAAGAAGCATTGGATAAAGTGTCCTCCAAATGTCCTTTCCATTGGTTGATATAAAGGATAAGGGGCTCCCCAGGGACAGATAAGATTTTTTAGAGGGAGCCGGTGGATGGGGAAATGTGTCTCTCTTCTGGCATTTTCAGAGCTGGGCAGGAACACTTAACTGAAATTCCTGATCTTCTCGGCTTGCTCCCCTGTGCTGGTTATTCAGGAGCATGGTCAGGCCTCAGCACTCTGACGTGGTACCTTGGTGACAGCATCTCGTCACCGATGCCTCAGTTCTTCCAAGCACCTGGTTTTCCCTAGTAGGGAGTAAGTGATAAAGTCTCTCCAACTGTTACAATAGTTGCATGAGGTCAAGATCGTGATGCATTTCTGTTTTGAATGAATTAGCTTCATTCTGTTCCATAGCTATTAACTATTCCACCGACTTTGGCTGCATACCTTGAGATTTCAGTGGGAACTGAGTGCTACATTACTGATTATTCACTCATTCACATTTTATTGAGCATAGAGCTTCCCCTGGGGTTAGACAGATGAAAAAGACTGAGTGTTGGCCTTAAGGAATTCCTAGTCAAGAAATGAGGTGGCGATGAAAGGAAGGAAGACAGTACAGAGTGCTAGTCCGGTGACTGGCGTGTGTCAGGAACACTGACTGAGTCAGAGACCAGATGTTCTGCTCAGTGCTGACCTGTGTTAACCTTTGAGCCTCTTAGCAGCACTATACGATAGGTATGATCACATTTTGTGGAAGGTTAAAGTGAGGCAGGGATAACTTACAAGGTCACATACCTGGTGAGAGGTGTTCTACCTCTTGAATCTATATTCCTACTGATTCCACACTCTGCTGCCTCTTGGTAGAGATGACGGGGTAGCTGTACTATGTCCCTTCAGAGAGGTGCCATTGGACATTGAAGGACAAGGAGAGGCTGTTTATTGCAGCCGTGGAAAGAGCATCACACACGGCCAGAAGCATGGTGACAGCATTGCTTTTTATCAAGGTCCCTTAGCATTTCTGGAGGGTGAGGCAGGAGCAGCCAGGGGGGAGGGTGTGAACACTTAGATGGAGCAGCGACAATTTATTTGAAAGCACAGCAAAAACAGACAGTGCAGGTGTCTGAGGCTGAGCGCAGAGAGCCCTGAGTTCAAGTTTTGCCTTGCCATTTCCTGGCTCTTTTTAATGTTTGAATTTCATCTAACTTCTCGGAGCCTCATTTGTAACACACACCAGGGATTGCCGTGAGGACAGAGGGAGACGCCCTGTAAAGGCTGGGCCACGGCATAGGCACCACACTTCTCAATGAAACCAGGAGCTCAGGGAGGCTGGGCTGCCCTGCATCTCGGCCACCGCACAGCCTGCTCTCCTGGAGGCTTCAACAACAGGGTTGCTGGCGCCCCCCTCAGAGATTCTTGCTGGGAGGTCTGGTTTGGAACTCTGGTTTGGGATGGTGTTAAAGCCCACCAAGTGGCTCTGCTGAGGCAGGGGTGGGAGCCCCCAGTCCAGGCAGCAGGCCTCCGGAGGACCTGGGAGCTGGAGGGTAAGCCCTGGGAACTCACCTTGCCCTGTGCCAGGATCTGAGTGGCTCTGTACACAACAGCTCTGTGAGGAAGGGAGAGCGTTTCCCTCTGCCTTCTCAGATGCAGTGACTGGGGCCCTGCAGTTGTTACAAATACATAGGGAGGAAGCACTTAGGCCCGAGATTTTTTATACCTTTTTAACAAAAAAATAATAAATGTGGAGATGTGACAAGACAAAGGGAAAGGAGTTTGGTCTGGGGCAGTAAACTATATGGTGACTAGGGAGTATGTGGGGAAGTGAATGCATGAGTAGGGCTCTTGTATAAGGAATAGTGTATAAGGCTATTATATAAGGCTATTGTATAAGGGCTTTCATATAAGAGCTATCATGCAAGGGCTATTGTATAAGGGCTATCGTATAAGGGCTAGCATGTAAGGGCTCTCATGTAAGGGCTATGTGCAGACCCTTCTTGGTGCTGTCTGTCTTCCTCATGCCAAGCCCCCCAGGAAGAGGGAATGTGTGGTAGGTCTCACTTCTCCGAAGTTCCTGCTTGTGGTCAGCGAAGGAAAACTCCTAGAAGGTTTCCTTCTGCACAGTGTCGATTCTCAGTTGCTCTAATTATCTCTAGAGCAGATTAAAGGAATTCTTATGCCAGAGTGGCATGTGCTGGGAGGGCAGATTCTGACCCGCTGCGCCTCACTCTGAGACCTCCCGCCTCTAGACTGCGACCTTGAGGATGCAGTGCTGCCCCTGTCCCCCGCATCCCCACCCCCCACTCTGGGGGGCAGCCCCTGCTCTTCCACCCCGTTTGCCCAGCGCCCCAGGCAGCTGGCAGGCCTCCCTCCTCGCTCCAACGCCGTCAGGCCGGCAAAGGAGGTCTGACGCTGGCTTTCCCCCCCACCTGGAAGCTCTCACCCTGCGAAGAAACCCTGCTCCGCTTCAGGGACCGCCCAAGGTCACAGCCAGCGGGAAGGTGAAGGCCGAGCCTGCGGGCACCTCCCCGCTCATTACTCCCTCGCTGCCAGTGTTCACTGCGGGGAGGTGACTAGCCTCCTCCGTCCTGCCCCTCCCTCCTCGCTCTTTCCTCCTGGGAAACCAGGGTCCGTGCAGGGCATGTGGCTTGTCAGGTCCCCAGTCACGGAGCTGGGACAGGGGCATGCCCACGCCCACAGGCTTCCCTCTGCTTTGGGTGGGCATCGCCGTACTTTAGACCCGGCAGCAATGCCAAGGCCAGCTGTGGGGCAGCGCAGGGCAGGCTGGTGCGGCCCTGGCCCGGTGGGCAGGTGGGGGAGGGGGTTCGCGCCATGGTGCCTGAGCAGTGAGCGCAGGTTATGAGCTTCATGAACCAGCTGGCGAGCTGTCTGAGGCAGGACACGACGCGGGCTTTGCAAAATGAGTGACGTCAGTGTATCTTTAAACTGCAAATATGTTTACATTTTATACCCACACAATAATTTATCAAAAAACTCTGAATTTGGAATTGTGATCATTTGGGTTGACATTTTTACTTGACTGTGTATGAAAGGTCTGTTGGGTAAATTATGATCTTATGAAATCATAATTAATATCCTAACAGAACAAACGGTTCACTCTTGCTGGGTTCTCAGCACCCGGGACGGCAGTGCCCCTAGAGCTGTTTCTCTCCAGGGGCTGCTTCCGTAGCTGCCTAACATGTCCCTGCAGGCGCTCGTCTGCAGTCCATCCTCCACAGATGCTGTTCCCATGCGGACGAGCTGTGGTGCTCACACTGGTTTCTGAGGGCTGACCTTCCGCACACCTGGAGGCCTGAGTGATCAGTGTGGACAGAGGCCTGACTACCTGTCTCGGTTCCCCATTCCCCTCACCAGCCTGGGGACAGCTGCAGGGACCACTTTCGCTTCCCGGGTCCCTGGGCCGCTCCTGTGATGGGATGCCTCACCTCCAGCCCAGTGCAGGGGCGGCGAGGGGAGGCGAGGTGGGGTAAGCCCAGCTCCGCCCTCCCAGACCCCGGCCAGGCCTCTGCGCTGCGCTGGCTAAGGCTCCTCTGCGTTCCTCTGCCAGGGTGCCTGACATCCAGGGTTAAACGGCTGCTTTCCCTCACTGGACTGACTTCTGAGGGCCAGGCTGTGTGTATCTGGCGTGGCAGTGTTGTTCCTGGCACCCAGAGAGACTGGAGGTGTATCTGCTAAGTTAGGTGGCGTCAGGCATCAGCAGTGCGCCCAAGGCTCAAGCAAGCTGGCAGCCTGCCCTCCTCCCTGGAGACACACTAGTTGGAGCTATTGTCTGCACGCGAATGGTTGGGAATGGAACTTACTCTCAAACAATCCACAGCAAAAACTCCCGCTTCTTTTGCCATGGTCTACATTAACGAGGCCTTAGTGTCTGCTTGTTTATTACGTTTCTACTGGAAAAATAAATACGGTAGGGCTTCATTTTCTAACCCTTTACATGAAACTAAGAACAGATGCCAATTCTGGCATTAGCTTTCTATCTTGGTCTGCACAGAGGCACAAAAGCACACACATTCAGGCACACATATTAATGTGCGTAATTACTAGTCCACTCTATTTCATGGCCTCCACTGTCTTGAAGGTTTGGATGACTTTTAAATATCCATATTTTATTGTTATCAGAGAGGAAGGGAGAGGGAGAGAGATAGAAACATCACTGATGAGAGAGAATCATTTATCAACTGCCTCCTGCACACCCCCATACTTGGGATTGAGCTCACACCCCGGGCATGTGCCCTGACAGAGAATCAAACCATGATCTGGTTCATAGGTCGATGCCCAACCGCTGAGCCACAGGAGCTGGGCTTGGATGGTT